TATGCATGAAAAATGTTTTATTTGCATAGAATATTTGCTGGAGGTGAGTTGGATTATTTGATATTGTTGGATGAATTTTTTGACTTCTATGAATATTTTATTTGAACTTTATTATGTATAAATAGTATTTTTGAGGTAAATTAATTAATTTAAATGCTTTAAAGGTATAAGAAAATTATAAAATAGAAATAGAAAAATCTTTTATAATGTCTAATAATATATAATAAGTTTAGATAAATTTTTCTATGTATAAGGAACATTTTCTATAGGAAATAGTGTAATTTTTACACTAAATAATTGATTTGAAGACCTAAATAAAGGTATAAAATTATGTGAATGATGATTAAATTCTTTTAGGAAGTATTTTAATTTATTATCAAAATAAATTGAATTTTTGAAAGGTATGGAATAAATTTTAGAGTTAGGGACCTAATTGCATAGAAATTAGGGACCTAATTTCATAAAATTAAAAGTTTGAACTTTCAAACTAAATTAGCTATGAACTTTAAGAGTTAAAAAATTGTTAAGATATCTTTAAAGGAAGGGTCTAAAGTAATCAATTGAAAAATTAAGGGATGTGTGGAGGAGTAATTAGAGAAAAGATTAGTAAATTAAGGGACCAAAATTAGGTAATTTTTTGAGAGATTTTTTACCCCTTTTAGTTGACTTCTAGAAACAAGACTAGGGGTTAATAAATGAGCTTTTACTAAGATAAAAAGAAAGCGATAGAATTAGGCAAGATGGAGGGCCAAAATTAAAAGAAAGGTTAATGGCCAAGATTAATCCATTTGAAAGGTTAAGATTTAAAGATAATTTAAGGGCTAGGATCAAACAAAATTGCAGCAAACCAAGGGTAGAGATGAAAATTTTCTTATAAATATGGGTGCAAGAAATTAAAGAAAATACAAGAAAAATCACAAAATACAAAGGAAAGTCTTGGAAATTTTCTCTATGAATTTCCATCCAAAAACCCACCTAACCATCTCTAAACACACCAAACCAACTAATTAAGTAAAGAAATCAAGCTAGAAGATCAAAATCTATCAAGGAAAAAATTTAGGGTTTAGGTCGAATTGTGTGGAGAAGGAGGAAAAAGTTCTTCAAATAATCCAACCTTTCAAGAACAATTTGGAGCTTAATTGAGTAAGTTAATCTAACCTACATCACAAGAAAGTTCAATTTCATGTCAAATTTGTGTTTGATGCTTTAATTTGTATTTAATTAAAATAATTATGAAAATTAAGGTTAGGGTTTTTAGTTAGGATAAATTAGGAAAAGTGATTCTAACTTGAAATTTCATATAATTAAAGTTAAATCATGCTGATTCGGCTTAAATTGATGAAGAAAAATCAAAATCTCTTAGGGTTAGGAAAGAGAAAGCATTTGACCAAAATAAGAAATTTGGGGTTTTTTGGTACTTTGATTTGTTTGATGATTTATTGGTTTATTATGTGTTTTTTTTTTTAATGCTATAATTGATGATTGAGAATGAAAAATTGCATAAAATGTTAGAAAAGAGACCTAATTTTATAAGGCCCATATTTGGCCCAATTAGGAAAGAAATCGAGTTTATGTGTTTTTGATTCCTAAGTGTTTAATTGGTTATTTCTAAATTAGAAAAGCCTAAAAAGATGAATTAGCATCGAAGATTTGATTAAAAATGAAAAATTTTCCTAATATACTTTTGTTGGGCTTTCGACTCATTATGCCCAAATTAAGGTTTTCAATATAATTTGATGTATAATTGTGTAATTGATGGTTCCTTGATGATTTTGGTGTGATGCGTATGCTTGAAGTGTGAATTTGGATGATTGTGTATGAATATGCATGTTTATGGGAAAGTTGCGTAAAGTTTGGATATATACCGCTATTCAATTATACGTTGAAATGTGAATTGCTATGGCATCTTGTGGTGATGATATTGTGATTTTGATGATTATGAAGTGTGTTGCCTTGTGTCATGTAATGATGTTATTATTTATAATGATTTGGATGGATTTTAATGAGGTAATGTATACGGTGCATTTTATGTCATTAAATTATGCATTATCATGGCATAAATGCATCTCAATCATGGCATGCATTTCATGAAATTATAATGGTATGCATTTTCAATAAAATGCATATGCATGCCAATTCATGTAAAGGATTTAAAGTTATGAAAAGATTTCCTTTATAGTTTTCAAAAAGAATTTAAAAAATATTACACGGTTCACATGATATTTCATGACCTTTTATGAATTATATGATACATGTTTTCATAATTTTCATGGTCCTTGACATTTCCTTGTCGGCAAGTCGGCAATGGCCAAGGTCAAAGAAATCTTCATGTGGTGCAAGCCCCAATAAAAGGAGGTGGCATTTCTCATCGAGAAAATTTATATTAGCGTTGACTATGGAGGAATTGGTGACGGTCTCACAAGAGAATTGCACGTAAAAGATGGTCAAATGGGTACAGGTGTATACCTTTGAATACTCAATAGGGCATGTCTAAGCATGGAAAAAGGGTTTTAGAATGATTATGAGAAGGATTTTCAAAAAGACATGAAAATGATTTTCCATGTGCATTTCATGTGAATATATTCATGTCATGCATAGATTCACTTAGTTGTTTCTCATCTAGTTTCTCGTGATGTATGCATTAAAGGTAATAGTGTCAATGTTCATCGCCGAGCCGATTACCAAGGGATCCATACGCCATGCGTATTTTGGATGTGGCTTTGATAGTAAAATAGAGCTCCTTCAACTAACTATTTTCTTAGTACTCGATATTATAGTTTATGTATTCAATATGAGAGGTTTATTTTATGCAATAGTTAAAGCTATGAACAAGTAGAACTATAGATGAGAATGTGATGTAAATAAGTAAATAAATCATTTTTTTGGTATATGGCTTTAGGTTATTTTGTATGTAAATAGAAATAGTTGGTATGTAATTTAAACTTAAAAAAAAAATAGTATTAGTAAAATAACTTAATATGGTTAGTATTAGTTTCTTTTAGTTAGCACTTTATTTGTTAATGTAATTACTAAAATATGATCACTAAATTAATAAGCAAATTAATAATAATAAATGATAATTAAGGTGAATAAAAGAGATTAAGTATCTAATAGTAGGTAATTACTAAATAAATTTCTATAGACCAATAGAAAAGGAATTTGAAAAAACCAAACGTCATAGATTCAATTCGTTCAGTCCAACAAACCTCCTTTAAGTAACCATTTTCTTAATCCTTGGTGCTATAGTTTAGATAATAGGTATGATAGGTTTATTTTATGCAATAGTATATTGAAATCCGACCTACTTTACTTTCTTTTTTCTTTAAAAAATAGAACTGGGAAGCTGCATCACAATTCTACAAAACAGGAAATTCATATCCACCCCAATCCCTTAATTTTTTATAATGCAACAGAATTCAGCAACTTGCATGCCAATTTAGCCCTCTTTCCATCCACAATAGCGTTGGTGATTATATATATATTTAAAAATTTAAAACGTTATATGAGATTTCAATAATTAATAGTTTTATATTACCTCAAATAAAAACTCTTTGATCTTAAAACATACATAAACTTATCATTATTTTATGCTTAGTTAGAAGAAAAAATAAAAATTATTAAATTCAAACTTATGATTGTTTGATCATTAAAACTCTATACTATATAAAAAATTATTTCAAACCTAAAATTTAAACAATTAATTGAGTTTTTTTAAAAATAGTTTTATATGATGGGCAATTTCTACAAATCATATGAATATATATACTATGAAATTGACTCACGGGAAGTTTATTTACTACAAGCGAAGATCAAATTTTATTTCAATAATTAATGGTTTTCTATTACCTCAAATAAAAACCCTTTGACTTTAAAATATACACAAACATGTCATTATCTTATGTTTAATTAGAAGAAAAAATAAGAATAATGAGATATAAACTAGTAAGTATTTAATGATCAAAACTATATATCGTATCAAAAAAACTATTTTAAGACTAAAATTTAAACTGTTAAATGAATTTTAAAAAATAGTTTTATATTACTCTTTGACATATGGTGAAACAATTTCTACAAGCCATATTAATATACATGATATGAACTTGGCTCACAGGAATTTTGTTTACTACACGCGAAGATGAAATTTTATTTGAAATTAATACCGGCAAAGCCATTAAATATGCTGGATAAACCTCCATATTGCTCATTCAATCAGGAAAAGGTTACCTGCAAGAAATTTTGGAGTTGCATTATAAAAAAAATTAACAGGAATCAGAACAGTAAAAACTACTATGTCCTGATTATCAGTTTAAAGTTGTTTTAATTGAGGCAATCATAATGCGTTCGAATGAGTTCATAGCCACAAGCAAACTGAATGAAATTCATAGAAACTATTTGCGTGGAAATGAGAGTAACAAGCCAACCCCAATGTAAGAATCTGATGACTGGCCTCGTTCAAGCAGATGTCCTTTTCCTGCTGATAAATTCATCACCTGCCAAATATAAAATGAACTCAAAAGTGAGGGTGAGTAACAAGAAGGAACTGAAAATTAATAAGATGTATGGTCTCACTTGCTGCTTCGATAGCTGGTTCTCTTCTATTAATTCTTCCCCCTAAAAATTAACAAAAAATAATAAGAAATTGAATAGAGAATGATCATACTAATAATTTGATTATCAAAAAATTGTGGTAATATCATTTTATGCACATCATCTGACTATGTTCAATTTTATTGATTCACGATGAAGTTTTGAGGCTTCATTCATAATTTTTACGAATTTTGGCATGAAGAGCGCCTGAAAATGTTCATAGATAGGAATGTGACCTTTGTCTTGACGCGACACAAGCTTCCTTCAATCAATTTTTCTAATCTATGTAATTCTTCCATGTTCAATCCTTGCAGGTTTTCTCTCATCAATTTTTCTAATCTATGTAATTCTTCCATGTTGTAATATGTCTCAGCATTGGAATGGGAATGTTCATCTATTATGGCAACAAGTTATTAGTCCTGCAAATTTGCCGCAGTTTTCTCTGCTATTTCCTTGTTCAGCATGGCGTACACAGCACCATCAAACTAAAATGACAATAACATTGCCTTCCCTAACGCATAACCATGCCATCTGATATATATATATTCTTGAAACCAGAATTATAATAAAAAATTAATTCAAAGGTTTTGAAACAAATTATCTGGTTTAAAGATGCAAGGTATCATCCGTTTTACGAGTTCAAACTATAAAATCAATGTCATATCATATTTCAAATAGTCCTGAGTTATCATTTGAAGCTTGCTTTTCGACATGGTTTAGATAGAGAACTTGAGCACGAGTCACGTGATCATCTCTAATTGCTCAAAATCTCTATACCAGCAAACAGACTTGTGATCTAATTTCACATGAACACATTTTAGAGATCTCCCAGGAAAAACAAATTATAGTCCTTTTCAAACAATAAAAATAGATATATTTAAATGAAAGAAATGGGAAAAAATATATATTTTTTTCGGAAAATCATGTGAAAAAAGAAGAAGAAGTTCATATGAGAAGCCTTTGAAGTTAGATTCTGATTTCAGCAGTACTACTTTCTTTATTAGTAAGTTGAAATTTGTTAGCAAGCCTAAAAACATAGTATTATTTTTTATTCATAATATTAGAAATGGAGGGTCATATTTGTCCATTTTTATAAATTTTTTTTTTTTAAAAAAAAGAACAAGTTATAAAAATGAAACCACGCCCTTATTAGATGATTTGACTTGTCAATCCAGCATTAATCAGCAAGAAAAAGTAGAATTCTTGTTTACTCTTTAATCATCTCTTCCTCTTATCAATGTATATATCACTTCTGCTTATATCAACGGCTATAACTTGGTAAGCTACAACATAAAAAACTAATTACCTGCAGCTCAAGAGATGGTTGATCGAACATGTCGAGGTTCTTTGGATGTAGATTGCGCCTTTCCATCACTTTCCCAACGCTTCAAGAACAGAAGATAGACCAAGTTATTTCTTGAATTATTCATGACGAAGAATAGGAAAACACTTTCTAACGGTGCCATTAATTGGTAGAAGATTCAGTGTTCTCTAGTAATTGCTAGCTACTAGGATCTTTCCCATGATTATTTCAGAAAAAACCATCTCTTGTCTAATCATAAAGATGCGCTCTTTTCCATGAATAGATCATTATTAAAAGAAAGGTACCTATCTCTTGCAAATAAATCCTGAATGATGCACAAACCAAGGCTGCTAAACGCTTTAGCTTGAAAGTGATCATAATAGTTAGGGCACAGTGATCATACAGTTTTTCATTTTTATTTGTTGATTCAATCAGAAGTTTGCCGATGAAGCCTAGAAATAGAGGCAGCCAAGATACACAAAAACCAGAAAGAGCAGAAACCAAGAAGGAAGCAAGAATGCCATATAAATTCAGGAGAAGGGAGGAGAATCCAAGGTCATGCCACGACAAACAAAAAGCAAAGCACCCTTACCAGATAACTGCAAAAAAAAGAAAAAGGAAACTGAGACTGATAAAAAACAAGCAGCAATCAAATTACCTAAACCAGCCACACCAACTCTGCAAGAAAACTGCTAACTCCACCAAAACACCGACCGACAACACAACAGGCAGAAAGCATGGCAGGACGACAAAACATGTAAAGAACATTTGCCATTTTCTAAACCCAGGCAATCTGAACAACTAGCCCAGACAATCTTGAGGGATGACCGTGTGGAATTTTTCAATAAACCCTAATATCAGATAAAACAGCAGCAACAACAACAAAAACAAGTCCTGTAGAAAAGAAGTTTACGGTAATAACAAACCCTAATTTCAGATACAAGGTCATATCTATTGCCTTGCTAACCAAAAGCTCAAATCTGCCATTTTCTTAATGTTAACTAGTTTATACCGACAAATGAGCAGTTGTTTTTATTGGTATTAGCGTCTCATATTCCTTCAAGAGATATCGAATTTGAAACTCTCCTTTATGAGCGAAAAAACTAATCACAGCCTTTTTAATAATAATATATATATATATATATACACTTCCACGCCAATATAAAGTAACACATGAAGACAAGGAGAGAGAAGGCTTTGTCCCAAGTTCCCAACAGTGCCTATGAAACACTTGTGAAATATGGGTTGATTTTGCTGAGATCTTGCACTATATAGAAGCCCTAAGCGATCGAATAAAAAGGATTTTTAAGTACAGAAGCAAGTGAAACCCAAAAATTATTGTATTGCATCCTAAAGCTAATTATGTAACAGTATGGACACAAAGTTATCAAGAAGATAATCCCAATTTGCTAAAATAGTTTCTCTGCAACAAAATTTGGCTCTTTCTAGCACTTCCTATAAAAGTTTCATTTAGAATTTTCTTATTTGATGGTTAGGCTTGTGTTCTTGTGCCAACTCTTGTGCTCACCAAGATGAAAATCCACTCTTCCTTCCTACAAAACAACCTTTTCTTATAAGTTTTTTTTTTTTTTCAATCATTAGATGAAGGCGTTTTAAAATCTTTTCAGTTTTATCTAAGTATTCTCATTTTATATTGGAGATAAGATTAATCTCGTTGGGAACAAAAACAATAAGATTTAATTACTTCTAACAAATGTAACTTAAGAATTTGAACCCGAGTACAATTTGCCTAGAGACCAATTCATTTACCACTTGGACCAACAACTTGTAGATAAGGATATTTTATATCTTAATCCTCAAATAGTGTGCTTTTAAACTTTATTTATTAAAATAAGGGTTTTTTTTTTGGTCACATGTACCTTAAAAAGATGACATGAAAATAAAATATAAATAATAAAAAGACATTATTTTCTAACAACCATGTATTACTTTTAAGCAAATTTTTTATTCTTTCAGGTTCGGATTCAATTTCCGTAAAAAAAAACTTCGACTATCTTTTCACAGTAAAAAGTATCTCTCTTGACTTGGTTTCTCAGTTTATATTAGAAATGTGAATTTAAATTTTAAATTTTTGCTCTATATTTATAGCTAAATTTTCCTCTTCTTATAATTTGTTCAATATTTTAGTACATTGGCAGTTTTAGGATTTGTAAAAATTCATAGAATAGGCTAATAATATCATATGGAACAACTCTCCAATTTCACTGTTTCTGTTGTATTAAGTTGACATGGAAAAAAATGTTAACAAACTTCATTGTATGTGATTTAACCAGACTAGTATAGAAATAAGCAATGGATGGAGGGAACTCATCCACACAAACTTAAACGCCACCATGATAGAAAATGTAGCCTGGTATCCTAACAAATGATTCACTCAATTAATAGCGGTAGAAACTCAATTTGTGTCTGAACTTTTAGTTAGAGCAATAAGAGAAGGAGATAGGTTTATTTGGGTTGAAACAATGATAGGTTTTCCATTTAAGTAGGTCGAAGTCGTGTGAGAATTCCTAAATTGATGTTGGTTGAAGTCATGATAGGTTTTTTGTTTATGTGGGTGGAAGTCATGGAAGACTTTCCAAATTTATGTGGGTTGAAACCATGATAAGATTTCTATTTATGTGAGTCAAATTTGTGAGAGACTTCTTAAATTTATGTGGGTTGAAACAATTATAGGTTTTCTATTTATGTAGGTGGAAATCGTGCGAGAGTTCCTAAATTGATATGGGTTGAAATAATGATAGGTTTTTTATTTATATGGGTGGAAGTCATGGAAGACTTTCCAAATTTATGTAGGCTGAAACCATGATAAGTTTTCTATTTATGTGGGTCGAAGTCGTTGGAGATTTCCAAAATTTATGTAAGTCATACCCGTAACAGATTTCCTATTTAGTGTGTCGAAGTCATGAGAGGCTTTTCAAATTTATGTGAGTTGAAACTGTGATAGGTTTTTCATTTTTGTGGATCGAACTTGGGAAAGACTTTTCAAATTTATATGGATCGAAGCCTTGGGAGACTTTTCAAATTTATGTCGTTGAAATCATGATAGGTTTTCTGTTTATGTGGGTCAAAGTCATGAGAGGCTTTTCAAATTTATATGGGTTGAAACCATAGTAGGCTTTTCCTTTATGTTGAACTGTTTTATATTTGTTAAGATCCAAAAGCCAATTTGAACGATAATATTACCATAAGATGGTGGCAGAAGATTAAATATAGATGAACCAGGCATCCACATCCATGTTAGTTTTAATCTATATATGGCCAGGCATATTGTATTCAGGTTTGGGTTACACTTCCAATTACAATCCGAAAATGTTTTTTATCCCTCAAGGGATAAATTCATTAAATATTCACAATCATGTAGTTTTAGTAGAAACAAATTGATATATATATATATGAGACATTATTATCATTGTTGTAGTTTATAGGTATTATTACGGTGGCTGTGGCACTTTCTCAATTTTTATATATTAATCATTTTTTATTTAATAATTCAATGTGGGATATATATGTTCTATAACATGTAAATCGTCATTAAACAATGAAGCTGTGTGTTGATTCATTCAATAATAATTCAGTTAGCTAAATCACAGTACTATATATCAAGCAATTAGTGTTTAGCAAACCCACCTCCATGATAAGATTTCAACTTTGTTCCCGACAACTCTGATGTAGAACAGTGTGTATATGCACCTTGACCACTGGATATCTCTAACCTCCCAAAAAAAAAAAAAAAAAAAAACTAGTGCTGGTTCAATGAATCAATATATAAACTGAAAAATTAATTATGATAAGTACAAATCAGGCAATTATATCAATATGGTACAAAACAAAGACAGTGAAGAGACATAATTAAGTCCTCTATACCCAATATTTAATGAACACATTCTTTTATTAAGTTGTGGTTTTTGGTGTATGAGGATCGCGAAAACAACTTAATGATATCAGTGGCTTTGATCTCTAATGGCAGAATAAGTACAAGTCTTTTTGGTTCAAAAGGAAACAGAAACAATTAAGACAATATTAAATCATAAACTAATCAAGTTAATTTCAGATCAGATAACTAACATGCATTAAGAGGAGACACAAGTGGATTCATCAATAGTCCTCGGAAGAGGATTTCAACTAGCAGAAAGTGGCATCAACCGACTTCAAAACCATTATCAGTTCCAACTTCTCCCTAAGCTGCTCTCTCCTTTTCCCTCGAAAAATATTATTTTGCTCACAGATACCAAAAGATTCTATTGTACATCTATTTCAGTCATTCTCTTCTTTTTTCAATTTTGTTGGGTTCAAAAGAAACCATTATCAGTGGCTCCTAGGTTGATCAATGGGATCAGAGATGGCAATCCAGTAGAAAACAATAAGAAAATGAAAAAGAGAAGAACCTTGAGTTTGAGTACTCAAATAGCTTGCCGGTTGCAGAAAACACCACGAGGGCACTCTCAGCATCACATAGAGTTGAGAGCTCATAAGCTTTCTTGAAAAGCTCTCTTCTCCTCTTTGAGAATGTCACTTGTCTTGCAGTTGTGTTGTCTATCTTCTTGATCAACCTATTGTTATATATTAATCACATGATGATCAAAATAGTATCCCTAAGAGAGCGAGAGAGACTGGGTAGAAAAGCCATAGATCTATTGTTATATATTAATTAATAAAGGACGATATCAATGTTTACACACAGAAAAATCAAATACCCTTCACATAAAATGAGAAAAAGCATGCGTCAAACACACTCAACTGCAAGTATATTTACAAGCATATCCAAACTTTTTCACTGACATACACATGTATCATATATTTTCAAATATATGAACGGAATTTTTAAAAACAAAAGAAGAAGAAGAAGAAGAAGAATTAAAGAGTGATGGATTTGACAAAATAAAGAAATCTAGTCACTTCCTTACGCCCAAAATGTCCTTTCAGAAGGAAAAATAACAATCGAAGTTCTGGAGTGACTTTAATGTACAATAGCGGATCTTGACTGCAAGAAATCAAGAAGGGATCTTTGGTTACAGAAAATCAACGCACAAAAAAAAAAGGTACAATCATAACACTGCCAAAAAATTAATCGAAGGAAGCGCATACTTTTGAGAACGCCTGTACTAAGAGTATTTACCTATATATGGAAATTTAACGAAAATTCTCTTCCTTTGATAAAAATGGAAAGAAAAATTTAATAAAAAGAAAATGAAGAAAAAATTAGGTACACTAGTGAGAGAATATTTCCGTAAATAGGTGATTAAATAAGGAAAGAAAATTAGATAAAGGAAGAGACAAAAGAGCAAATTTTTTGCCAAATCCAGCCAAGAAACTTGAACTGACTAGAGCGGTAATTTTATTGGCTATAATAAAGAACATATAATCTAAAACAACCCTAGCTGAAAAAAAAAAAAAAAGTACTTGAAAAGAACCCAGATACTGAAGAAGGAAGAGCAACGTACCAATAATTCAAGCTGTCATTGAGCTTGCAACGATCGGTCAGAAATCTATTGCTTCAGTTCTTAACTCTTTCCATTCTGTCTTTCGGTAGAGCTGTCGACACTTCACAGAAAATCAAAGTGAAGTCCACCAATGGTATTTAGAGAGAAAAAAGAGGAAAAAAAAGTTTAAACAGAGAGATTTTTAACCTAGTTTGCAGGGAAAAGAAAGATTCTTTTTATAGCCAAGCAAGAAGTCACATTCCCAATTTTCTCCGATTTGTTTATTTGTTAAAAGAATAATAAATAAATAAAAGTTTCAAAAAAGAGAGAATGTAAGGCAATATAACCATCAATTTTTTTGAGATTATTTATTTATTTATTATTTTCATTTGAGTGTGGTATTAAGGTTGTTGTCAAGATAATAAAGTAAAGATTCATTTTTTATTTTATTTTTTTACAAGAAAGTTTATTTTATATGGTGAGATTTGCTTTCCATATAGCTTTATTAGTTAGATATTTCGACAGCTTTGCACCCTCGCATCTTCAGGTTCTCTCTCCTGATAGGGCAGTAGTACAAGGTAACAGCTACATTAGCCGGTGCTAGCCGAGTTTTTTTTTTTTTTCATTGGACATGTACAGTTAATGAATTCAAATAATTCCGTTTTTAAAATCCATTCATGACAATACATAATAACTTAATCCAAAAAGTACGAATTTAATTTTTTTATCCATATTTATCTACTTATTTGTTTGTGTTTACCTAAAAGATAAGATAAGGGCTTCATTTTTATTGTTTTGTTTTGTTGGTATCATGGGCATCAAAATATTTTGAAACTATTTTAAGCTTGTAAATAAAATCAAGAAGGAACAAGAAAGCAAATTTAAAATAGAATCATGCAAAGAAATCATGAAATGAGGTCAATTGATAGGTGATTCTCCTCAAATAATAGGTCAAGTGTGATACATTGATTTGTCACTAATACGTTAGAAGAGCTAAGAATTAATTAACTCTCATATCTAACAATTTGTTACAACTAGATAAGAATTATTTTATCTATATAAATCTCTTTGTATACAACACTATAAATAGAATCTAAGAGAGATACAAAAGTTCAAGTTTAAAAGGTCAAATATACTTTAAGGTATTATAGCCTTATTAGATTTAAACATTCAACTCCTTTTTTATTATTGTTGTTGTTGTTTCGAGCAATTCTTTCTTTCTTTTTTCTTTCATCTAGCTTGTTATCTTGCCTTTATCATGGCCAATCATCCAAAGAACCAAACTTGCTCTTCCAAAAAACAACACATGTCATAACATATCCCAACATCATTTGTCAACTTTCCATGAAACTTTCCTCTACCAACTACTTGTTATGAAAGACTTAAATCCATCCTTTATTATGAGGATACAAACTCGTCAATCATATTGATGATACTACTAATGCCCCACTCGAATTCGTTGATGAAGATAATGTTAACACATATCCTAATCCAACATATGTCAAATGGTATACTAATGATCAAATTATGTTGAGCTAGATTGTTAGTTTTCTTACGGATCCATTTATATCATAAGTTATAGGTGCCACAACGGTAATTGAGGCATGGAAAATGCATACCACTGTCTATGCATCAATCTCACATACTCGGACACACTAGTTGTGTACCGAGTTAATTGAATTTGTCAAGAAAAATGATAACATTCCCACCTATATGACTCATGCCAAGGAAATTTCGATAAGCTTCATTGTTAGTGTAGGTGCCCAAGATCCAACTATGTTTGGATGGACTTGAGTTATTATATTATTGCATTATTTATTTTAATAATAATAAAAAAAAGTCTTTCTATTAATTCTTATGCTTTTATGTTTATTAATTTAGTAGAATTAGATGAAAGTTTTTATGATATACATTTGTAATAGTGATTGATTGAAAGATGTGAGATAAACACTAATGTAAATAAATGATATTATTAAAAGTCCTAAGTCTTACCATTGTCAAGAATGGATGTTGACTATATACGGATAAAATTGTGAGTGTTATACTCATGCTATATGATAGCAGATAGGAGATCTCACACATATTGGTATAATAATGTCAAAGCAAGCACTTATGTGATTTATGTTAGAGAACATATCATTGGACTTAACTCATCATGAGAACCCATTTGATTTAGTTTACGGGAATCTCATACGAGATGGGTACCATCGGTCCTTAGACTTGAAGTCATCATAGTTATATCATAAGAAGATTTATGCACTTTGATGCTCATTTCAATGGACCTAGTAAAGGGTTACACATAAGCAATTCATTGGGTACACTAGGAATCTAATAGAGGTAGGTGTATGACTAAGATAGGACATTTCATTCCTTGTATGCTAAAGGAGTTATCACATTACACTTCGATTAATGTCCGATCGGAAAATCTATAGCCATAGTAGGAGTACACCAATAAAGCATAGTTGATTTACTATAAGAGCTAAGACATTTAGGAATCGAAGAAAACTTATGTCATCATAATCGAATAATACTTATAACCAAGTTCGAGATCACACTCGGATAAGTTGACATGAGAACCGAATTGTATGATAACCATGCTTGTGAAAGGTAATAATGGATTAATTAATCCTCGTGGAGAATTGGGTAGTCATGATGTCTTGCTAAAGGCCAATCTTGATTTATATATCAAGAAATAAAAGAGGAGTTTTTTGTTCTTGATACATTATTAACATATCTAGGAGCTTATTGAGTCACACACATAAGTTTAAGCATTCACATGATTATTGAGAAGCAAAGATATTGGAAAAAGTTTTCAATTCGAAAGTTTCCTATCTTGGAAAAGGTTTTCAAAAATGAAACATTTCCTATAATAGAAAGTTTCCTAAATGACAAGTTTTCTTAAATGGAAGTTTCCTAAAATGAAAAGTTTGTTATTTTAGAAATAAGTTTTCTAATTTGGAAGTTGGTTCCAAATTTGAAAGTAAATAACCTAAAATGGAAATGAGTTTTCTAGTTTATGTTAAATGGTATTTTTGAAATTGTTTCTTGATGTGAGCTACCTAAAATTATCTAAGATTATTTATTTAGATAGTCTAAATAAATTAATTGGGCTAGAATGGCTTTGGCCCAATAAGTTTAATTACAAGCCTTAAGATATATTGGTGGGATGATAAATATCAACCTTATTGAATAAAGATGAATGCTTTAAAGATAAAGATCAAAAACTCATATGTAAGATAACTCCTAATCCTTGGAGGATTAGGAAGCAACAACCATAAGTCTAATTAGGACTC